ACCTTTTTTTTCCCCCAGTTATTAAATGCAATATGCAAGAGTCACAGCAGGTGGCAGCACATAGCAGTCTTTGGTTGATACTAGAAAAAAGCCGAGATTAGGGTTTAGTTGGGAGGTTACTTCATTTAAAAAAGCTCTTGGTTAGGTTGGGAAATCAGCATTCACCCTTAAAGAATGGCAAACCACATTTTTATTGTTGTCAAGCAATCTACACAGACATGCTCGTGTGATGACCAGGAGTTGAGTTTGAGTCAAGGAAGTTCTTACCTTATTTCCTAGCAAAATTAGACACACCCAAGTCCAGCAACTATTCTTTACATGTTTTAGCCTCCAGTCCCCTAATCATCTTTGTTGCTCTTCTCAGAACTCCACATCTTTTTTTACATCATGGCGACCAAAACTGTGTGGCCTTACCAAGGCACTATAAAGTGGTATTAACACTTCACGTGATCTTGATTCTATCCCTCTGTTAATGCAGCCTAGAACCGTGTTGCCTTTTTTGGCAGCTGCTCTCACACTTCTGGCTCATATTTAAATAGTTGTCCACTAGGGTTCTGAGATCCCTCTCACAGTTGCTACTCTTGAGATAGGTACTACACATATTGTACCTGCGCATTTGATTTTTCTTGTCTAAATGTAAGAACCTTACTTTTTTCACCATTGAAGTTCATTTTGTTAGATAGAGCCAATGTTCAAGTTTGTCAAGATCCTTCTGCATCTTAAGCCTAGCTTCTGGAGTGTTGGCTATTCCTGCTAGGAAATAAGGTAAGAACTTCCTTGACTCAAACTCAACTCCTGGTCATCACACGAGCATGTCTGTGTAGATTGCTTGACAACAATAAAAATGTGGTTTGCCATTCTTTAAGGGTGAATGCTGATTTCCCAACCTAACCAAGAGCTTTTTTAAATGAAGTAACCTCCCAACTAAACCCTAATCTCGGCTTTTTTCTAGTATCAACCAAAGACTGCTATGTGCTGCCACCTGCTGTGACTCTTGCATATTGCATTTAATAACTGGGGGAAAAAAAAGGTTCAGCAATGAATCCAATGAGAGCAGCGCTTGAGATGTGGTATGGAAATCCAGCATGCAGAGCAAAAAGGATTGTTTTTGTCTTTTAAAAATCTAAACATTTCAAATCCAATAGTCTGAACACTGTAGGTATTTTAATTTGGATGCCCAGGCTGAGCAGATTTGGATGAAGGCCTAAATGTTCCTTTCCAACTCCATAAATACGTGATCTAAGGTATAAATTCAGCCTATGATAAAGTTGCTAACTGTCAGAAGCTCCAGAATCAACTCCTTCTTGTGATTTTTTTTTTTTTATGGCCCATCCATTCAGAGATATTCTGAGCATGGAGAGGATAACTCTCCCCTAAGCTCCTCAACAAATATCTGCATTTCCTGAAAGGAAAGGGTAACTATTAATTTTGCAATTTTTATATTGCCTGGTGCACTTTTGTCTACTGGGGTGTATATAAAATATAAATGCAGGCAAAGAGTAGAATACTAGTGATCAAATACAGAAACCAAAGATTTCAGCAACTTGCAGAAGACTACACACACTGCCAGGCAAATCCTGGGAGCTTTAATCACAACGCATGGGGACCACCACAAGAATGACTGCCTCCAAGCAAAGTTCCCTGAATGGGATGGTTATAAGGATGGAGTTCCCTGGACAACATGCATAAACCGGGAAGATTCTATCTAGAAGCAACCAATCTCTTAAGTACACTTGAAGCCTTTAAGTGTAAGGCTTTAAAGGTCAAAACAAGACTACTGAATACTGAAATGATGCCATGACGTCTTTTATTTCACAAGAAGAGTTCTCCGCTCCTCTACTCGTTGCAGAATACCTTATGCCACCAGACCTGAAACTCTAGACCTAGAAAACCTAGAACTACATTGCCTCCGGTCTGATCTAAATATAGTATATAAAATCATACATTGCAATGTCCTACCTGCAAATGAATACTTCAGCTTCAATCATAACAATACAAGAGCATACAATAGATACAAACTCAAGGTTAACCGAACCAAACTTGACTGCAGAAAATACGACTTCAGCAAAAGAGTGGTCAATGTTTGGAATACTCTACCTAACTCTGTAGTTTCTTCCCCAAACCTCAAAAACTTTAACCTTAGACTGTCTACTATTGACCTCACCCCCTTCCTAAGAGGCCTGTAGGGGTCGTGCATAAGCGCACCAATCGTGCCTACTGTCCCTGTCCTATTGTTTCTTTTTATTTTTCTTATAAGTATCTATCTCATGTATTCAAAAGTATATTTATTCTTATACCTGTATCTTGTAAGCGATTGACAAATCAAATAAATACTAAAAATACTAAAAAAATACTAACCAGTACAGTGCATTAAACATAGGTGCAATACTCACATAGCAGCAACTTGCAGCCTAATCATTGCATTTTGCACCAATCAAAGGATCCAAATTATTTTCAAAGGCAACAAGAGTTGAAAAATCCAGAAGGACCCCAGTTTATGAATCAGTTCTTTAGGGGAAAGATGAGCCCGTCCCTAGTTACAGTTCAAACCAATAGAATGGTTCTATGTTTTGGACAAATGGCATTCAATTAAGTCTGAGGTTCTTTCTCCCCATCCAAACACTGCCCCTCCATGACACTAAGACAGTAAGTTACATTCTTGTTCAGCTGCTTTTTTAAAAAAAAAGTTATAAATGTGACAGTGATGGTTCTTCTCCATTTCAGCCTAGCATCAATATATTATAGCATATATGTACTGTAGATTATTTTCTGACTTCAGATATAAATGTACTTTCAAAAAAAATCAAAACTAAATTAAGCACAGTGACTAAACACACAATTTATGTTTTGCAGAAAGATGGACAGAGACATTTTCTGTGACGTGTGGCAAATATCTGCATGCTGTGAGAATCTTTGCATGCGTCACCTCTCCCAACACATCTGTGATAATCAGCATATCCCCTTTTAATTGTATGCTCTCTTGACTTCCTTGGAGGAACGATCTAATTTTATATGTGCAGTGCATTCCCTTCTTCAAAATGAGATACTACTTTCTATTCACTCATCAGTTGTATGCAAAAAAATTTCTTGCATTAATCTAGGATGTTTTTTCGGCATTTTGCTAATTCTACTCACTGGCTGGAGTGATCATGTATGTAAATTCGCGAAGCCAAACTTGTTGGATGTATATTTTCATAGTTAAACTTCTTTGTCTGTGACTTGGTTTTAGGAATTCTCAAGTAGGTTAGATACATTTAATATTGTGTGCTGACGCTTCCTTTTTCTCCCACACCATCAAGAAGGGGTATTGATCTTAACAAAAAGAGGACGTGGCACTCTGTCTTGGCCACAGCTATAAAAATTCCTATTCATCAGATCAATTCAACAATAGGAATCAAAACCAGTCCTGTGGGCAGGCATGGAGAAATGGGTCATTCCCACTGGTTTCACCAGCTACCCAGCATCTGCCCAATCATATGCTTTTCACAGGCTATGTGATATTAGGCTAACTTCAGCAGTACATAAGAATGTATATGGCACTTCTCCCTATGATGGATAATCTTGGTCCTTATTTTCTCTCTCTCTCTCTCTCTCTCTCTCTCTCCCTCCCTCCCTCCCTCCCTCCCTCCCTCTCCCCCACCCTCTTTCTCTCTCTCTCTCTCTCTCTCTCTCTGCAATGTTCCTCTTATCTATAGCAATCCCAGCCACACAGTTATCATATAGATATTACTCTGTCACTCCCAAGAAGCACATTATGTGCCAATCTGACGTGATGATTTAACAATCATGGATATAACTGACTTAATTTTGATAGGGAAAGAGCATTTAAGCATTCTGAATGGCACAGTTCTAAAAAAATGGAGCACATGGCTTTCAAAACTACTGAATGTGTTTGTTCCAAATGACTGTATTAGCCAAGGACATTTGGAATTAAGAATTCAATAAAATTTGGGGATCACATGCTTTTACTTTATACGATACCATCAAGCATTGGTGCAGAGGGAAGGCAAAGAAATAGTTTCCCTCAGTTTATTCTTATAGTTTGTTCTTGGAATTAACTAGAGAACTGTAGCATAAACAAGGGTGTTTTGTTTTGATTTCTTTAAAACCCTACATCTTTTGCTTCTTTTTACTGCCCCTCTTGTCGGAATTACTGTTTAAGACCGCTGTTACATTAGCCTACGGTATTTTAAAGATGCCTTTTATTAGAGACAAGCTGTCTTAATTTACTCCATGATTAAGAGTCAAAAGTTTTTTATCACACGCAACCAGAAACCTAGCTGTTGAAACACTGTGCCTCAGCCATCATAAGGAACAGGAATGTGATGACCTGGGGCATGGCACAAAGGCAACACAGTCAAATAAGCAATGAGAGTCCCTTTATTATCTCCAACTTTGCCCCCAATGTCCAGGTTACCTTCAGCTGGAGAAAAACTCTCCCAGGAACAGCCTTTAACTATAGAAAATTCAGTCCAAAACAAGGTACACACAAACTGTAACTTAAAATCCAAACAAGCCAAACTGAAGTAATTAGCTTGACAGGGCAGGAGAAGGAATTTCAGATTTGAAAGCACGGCAAAACTCACACAGTTGGGAAGACGCCAGGAACATAGATAAGCCACGATGATACACGATAAATTCATGTTTCCTCCCAACAGCTTGCTGCGCATAGCTTCCCTTTTTTATACACTGTGTTCCCAGCTGCAGCTAATGAAGGGAATCAGGGCCCTTTCCTCCACGTAAGCCATGCAACCCACATTGTTCTCTTCTTTGTTCCTCCCTGCGTGCCCTAAGATGAAGGGGGGGGCAGGGTCTTCCTCTGAATTCCCTCTCCTCCCTTGCTCTATGTCTCCCCTGCTCTGCCCAGCTGGACTTTGCCCTTCCCTAATTTCTTCCACAGCTGGCAGAGCCACACTCGCACTCCCTATCACCTGTTCAGCTTCCTCCTCTGAGTCAGATTCCAACAGACGCATGACAAAGAAATAGGTGTCCATGCTTACCTGACGGTGTCAGCAGCAGTAATAGCAATTAGAGGGAGAGCTCTCAGTGGAAGGTTGGTGGGCCTCTGCGGCATCTCTGGATCAGTCTTTTTCTCCCAGTCTACCTGCTCCAGTTGTCTAAATGCCAAAGGAGGAAGCTGGAGGTTACGACAGGACAACCTCCTAACACGATACTGGTCTGTTCCTTGGAGAATCATTTCTTCTTCATTTTGATGGTACAGTGTTTCTTCTGATGCCTACAATAACAAAGATTATTTGAATAAATCTCTGCTGTGAAATTGTTCAAAATTCCATCATTACATGTAAATCCTTATATTTTTAGTTTTTTAAAACAAAATATATATGAAAAAGAAAAAAAGAGGAACCTGATTCTTTTCATACTGAGAGGTCCTTGCTTGGTTGTTTTCTTGCAGAGGTTTCATTACCCAAACTAGCAACATCGTCAGAGCACCTCAGAGAGCACCAAGCACCCCTCATTTCAACCTGAACTACAAATATTCTCCGTTTATCTTTTCATACATTTTGGCAGTGCTGGAGAATTTACTGTAGAATATATTTGCTTACATTAAGCAGATATACTGTACTAAGCTCAGTACAGAGTCTGAGAGTTGTTCTCCGGAGCCTCCTTCAACCAAGCTCTGAAATTTAGCAACAGAGTACTAAGAATCAACCGCATGCTTTCCAGTTTTAAGGGTAATGTCAATGTTTTAGGCTTTACACTTGGAATTTAAAACAATAAAATAACATTGAATAACGCTAAAGGCTTGTGAAAACAAGGAAGGTGGGGAAATCTAATTTCCACACCACTCAACTTGTAAGATGCAATTTCATTGATTGTGCCTCTAGTCCAGGGCACCAAAACAAGGAAGGCAGAATGTGGGTCCCAACTATAGAAAAGTAGCCTGGTTTGGCTTGCAGAAACGGTCATAAAAGCTTAAGGAAACTTTCATGATAATATCTGGGTAATTTCCCAACATTTTGGCAAAACAAACAAACCTGTTTTGCTACAACTGGGATTGCAGGCACAAACAACTTTTCAAGCATTACTTGTGGTATTGCGATACAATACTTCATAGGTTCAATAATTGTTAATGGATCTAACTTTTTTTTTTCATTTTAATCCAAGTCCTCCTTCCAGATCAAATTATGGCTACAACCCATATTTTGGAAGAAATTTAATTTAAAACACTCAAGCCCTTTTAATCTTGCAGGCTTTAATTTTTAAAACACATGAATAACAGGTTTGGTCAGAATCCTGCAAAACAAAAACAAAAATCAGAGGGAAACTCATAGCACCTTTGTTGGTTAACAAATCTTATTAAAAGACAAAGATTTTCTGTTGTGGTACGTGGCCCAGCAGCCTACAGAGATGGCAGCAGAATAGGACAGTGGGGAAGTACATGGGCCAGTCCAGGAGTCTGGGGAGGACTCAGATAAAGGTCCTGCTTCCGATAAAGAGGTGGGACCAGGGCCATCTGCGAGTTATATGCTGACTTTGGAGCCTCCAGAATCTGGCAGCAGTAAGGAAGAGGAACAAGGGAAGCCTGTTCCCAATACATGTGTGCGCAGAGCTGCCAGAAGGCAAGAGCAGTTAAGACAAAGGGGGCAACTTGGGAATAAGGCTTGGAGGTGATTGTCCCTCCCATAAGATATAAAGTGCAAAGGGACAGGAACCTTTGCAGGAAGCAACATCATTCACTCTGTTCGAATTAAACCTTGAAGCTCTATGTGGACTTGGTACTTCATTCAAAGGAGATAAAGGTGGGTGCTTATCTTGAGAGACTATTTGGGACTCATTACGGGCTGGGAATGAACATAATTCCCAGCATTGAAATAAAAAGAGAATTGTTTGGACTAAGCGTGTGCTTAATTACGGTCTCAGGAAGCCTTGGTCAGAACACCTTCCTGACAACAGCAGCATGATTCTTCTGATATATAGAATGTGACTTTCCTCTATGCTTTGAGATGGAAGGACTCATACATACTAACATTGGAAGAATGGGTAGTAAAATTAACAGAGTTGGAGCAGATGGTGAAACTAACTGCTTTGATTAAAGAAAAGACTTTATCTAACTTCGTTTCTACTTGGAAACCACTCTTAGAATTTATTTATATTTGCTTGAAACTTAAAGAAATGAAATTTTAATCTTGGATTTTGGTGACTAGACTGCTTATGGTAGAAGTACTGTTTGTTATAGCTTATTCTAGTTCAAAGGGGAATTGACTCAGGTTTTTTATCTGTACTGAAGAAAATTGGAAGTTACTTTCTCTATAGCTTTTTGTCTGTATTTCCCAATTTTGCTTTTTCTTTACCTACCCTTTCCAACTTTTCTTTTAATTTTTTTTCTTTGCTCTTTGTATTTTATGCTTTTCTGAAATGTAATGAAGTTTTATTTTTATTTTAAAGAGAAAAACACCTTCCTCAGATGGCTCAATTAATGTACAATTTGAAAAGGGAGTAAGATGAGGAGACAGGGCAGAAAGGGAGGTTATGCAAACTTCTGGTCAGTTTTTTTAATGTCAAGGCAGTGAACATACCTAAAACTCCTCTGGTTTTCCCCATCACAGCAACCCTGTGAAGTAAGTTGGGCTGAAACTGAATGACTGGCCCAAAGTCACCCAGCTGTTTTGTTTTTTTGTTCAATATTACATATTGCAAGATTATAACATAACAAATATAATAATTCAATAAATATGATAATATAATATATTACATTACATTATTGGGTTGTGTTATATCATTACATTATTGTATTATTAATGCAATAATATAGCTTGCCTTGCCAGTGTTGATGTCAGTCCAACCAGGTAGACCAATTAGGAAAACTAATTCTACTTTATTGTAAAGCTACATTAACAGAACCTGGCAAGTGTATAATTCTCTCGCTATCACTTTTACTGCCAGAAAACTTAGGGAGGGCCCCTTCTGAGCCGTTTGCTCAGCCCACAATGCAGCTGCGGGTATGCGATCTATTACCTGACTACTTCCTAAGCACCATCTGTTCACTCCATCTCCCAAGGTCTTCCCTATATATCACTACAGCTACTTTGGTATTTTCTGTATTCTAAGTGATTATTTGCTGACTGCAAATAATTTGAAATGGATTTTATCTTTCTGGGGGAAAAAATAAATTAAATAATTGGAAATTTAGATTTCAGCTCAATTTGTAAAGTTGGTTGACACTGGAGTTGTTTGGTTTAGTCAAAGCTAATTTATGAGGATGAAAACATTTACTCTGAAATTATTATTTTTTTGCTAAATAAATCTGTCCTTCATAAAATTCTGACAAACTTGTTATTTTTAAATTAAATGGATGACTTGGTCCCTTTGTTTTCTTCAGCATAAAAAGAGTCTAAAGAGTTTTTGAAGAAGTTTAATTATAATGTAAGTTGAGATCTTAATAAATGGAGTAGATCAGAATATTATAAAAATTAAGTATGTTTTTAGGGACAGATTGTCACAGAAAAAAATGTATTGGTATTAAGAGTCAGCGATGACTTGATGGTACATAATCAATACATATCTTATACATATTAGTTGTTTAAATGTACCTAGCAAATATTAATTAACATACATATACCACAAAACCCTCCAAAATGATGTTACTTAAAGATTAATTATGTCCAGTTATGTTTTTAGCACAAATGAAAACAAATAAAACAATGCTTTAAAGGTATTACATCTGATCCCTTGGAGGTTAGTCATAGAGGTTGCAAATGACAGTATGTGCTAGAAACCACACTTCTTTTTTACAACTACTAATTAAAACATTTTTCTAAAATCATCAAAATGAGCTAATATACCAAAGAATTCACAATAATAGATGGACATCCTTGGAGATTACTTTGACATAATTATTGTTCATCTAGACGAGGTTTATTTTACCAGCAATCTGATGAATAAATGAGTCACAATCGCAATCACAAGCCTATACCAAGGTCCATGATGGCTAACTTAGATGACTCATTCTCCAGAAATAAAGCTGAAATAACAGACTTTCCTCCTGCATAAGGAACTTCAGCTACAGCACTGGGGAATAAGGTAAACAAATTAGCATTTGAACTGAAAGGATCTCCATACAGAAACACACTAGAAGTAGACAGTGTAGGAGGAGGAAGCTGTGGTGAGAGAAAAAAAGCCAACAATCAGAAATCTGCTTGCACTTTTTCCAATCAATACATTTCCTCAAAAGGCATAAATGCTGGTGGCAGAAAAATTACTCAAAATGGTAAATTTCCTTTCACACTACAACTCTGTTGTATGAAAGGAACCATTCTCTCTTATGCCTTCTCCAGATTTATGATATCGATATTGATAAAGTGGGAAGAATGCTGATATACATAATGTATCTATCTCCCAATAAATACAAGCACTAAGAATATCTTCCTTTTACTGAATTTACTTTAACTTTCAGTGCAACTTTGCATGGAATTCTCACAGGAGGGAACACATCTACTTGCATACCTAACACATTCTCCATATATTAGCATTCTCCATAGAGTATAGACTAGCCTAGCATTACAGAATATATTTTTCCTCTGAATTAATGTTAGGCAAGGGACAAGATGGAAATCACAATAGTTTGATAGATGAAATATCACGTTTCATCAGTTTAAATGACCTTACGTTTTATGAATTGATTTGTTGACAAGAGGCAATAAGTGGTTTTTGCTTACATAACTTCCCACTGAGACTTACTTTCTTTGTTTCACACTGTTCTTATATCCCATGACAGCTGGAAAGTTGATCTTACTCAAACATTAAAAAAAAGTAAATCACAGCCATTCATTAATAACAAAGAGAATTGTTTCCTATTCCTAATCCAAATCATTCCTTCAAGATAAAATACCTGTTTCTTTTCAATCTTTTGTGAAAATAGAAAATATGAGATTTCTGATTTACAGCATGCAGGCTGTACTCATAGTTGGCATTGTTCATGATTCTGTTCATATGTCCAGGTGATTATCTGCCTTTTCAAGAAATTTAGCTAGACAGGCAATTCAATTTAATAGGTGATGTTTGGGTTGTGTGTCTCTATCTTTGTGTTTGTACTGTATGAGACAGTGTGTTTGTAGTACAGAGGGATCAATCAGAGAAATTTATATAAAAACCTCTTCACATGACCTTCGTTCTACATGGTTAAAGAAGGCAACTACTCCCCCTATGTTGAATGCACTTTTTCTAATTATCCAGACAGTTCATTTCTGTTTTCCTTGTTTTTTTTAAATTAGGCAG